CACAGGTACTGAGAGGCAGCTTTCTAATCCCCTGGCTAAAGTTGTTTACCTTTGCTTCCTCTTTTTCTGAAAGGAAGAAGTTAGATTTAAATCCAATTACCCAGAAAAAAAATGTATTCTTTCAAAATACATCCACTAATCCAGTCACTATGTCTCAGGTGCAGTGCTAATGTCACTGAAAATTTAGTCATGAGCAAAATAACTTTGACCCCATTGAGTTTAAGGTCTACAGCAATGTCATCCAGCAGAAATAGGATGTGAGGTCAGATATGGGGGGTGGGGCTTCCCTGTGATCCTAGGCAGAAGCAGGAGGACTGAACTCATAGCAAGACACTGTCTCATCCTATTGCTGATAAGAAGAAATTAAACAATAGCCTAAATGTAACTTCAAAAATTTTAATAGCAGGGCTGGAGAGACGGCTCAGAGGTTAAGAGCACTGACTGACTCCTCTTCCAGGGGTCCTGAGTTCAATTCCCAGCAACCACATGGTGGCTCACAACCATCTACAATTCAATCTGGTGTCCTCTTCTGGAATGTAGGCAGAACACTATATATGTAATAAATAAATAAATCTTTAAAAAAATTTTAATAGCAACCATAAAAAAGAAAAACTAAAAAAGTATTTTCATTTAACTCAATTTAGCTAAACTACTCTATTGACAAATTACTCAACAATACTACAATCACTGAGACATTTTATATTCTTTTTACCTCATAATTTGGTATGAATTTAACACCTGTGACACATCTTAGCTTGGGTCAGGCTATCAGCTGCTGTACTGACCAGGTAAGTTTGCTGACACCCACTTAATCATACAAGTAAAGATTTAGATTTTAATGGTAAGAAGTGGAACTTACAGAATGTGTTAGAGAAAGCATGAGTGAAGTCTAGATGCTGAAAAGTAGGAGAAACCAAAGCCAGTGTGCTGACTTTCCGGGAGTGGAGGAATTGGAAGAAAAATAGTACCAAAACAGAGAGGGGAATTATTCAGGAGAAATCTGATTTCAGAGGAAAAAAGAATTTATTGATACCAGGTGCAGAGACGTGGGGAAGGAAACAGAGAGGAGGGACTAGAGACTAGCATTTGAGGCGAATGGGATGGGCAAGTTACACTGTTTGTAGATGTTCTAATGTTTGAACGTCTCGGGGACAATTCTTCTCAGGGAGATCACAACTAGAGCAGGAACTTGGACAAGTTAGTCAAGTAGATCAGGAAGGGAGGGACTATATGGTTAACACAACCTGTGTCCTAAAAAGACCATAGATACTGGAGATAATGAGGGAGACACAGCCACTGTGAAGACCAGCCTCCACAGCTCAGGGCATAATGGGGATCCCAAAGGGTCTGAGAGCTAGGACTTTTCTATCTGAGGGAGTAGGGAAAAGACACACACACTCTTGATGAGTTCATTCTGACTTCTTTTTTTATTCTTCTTATTTTCTTTCCTGGTGTTTTCCTTCTCTCATTCTTGATGTTTTCCTTCTAACTAACCCTAAACTTATTTTTTTCTTTACAGCTTACATATCCCAGCAAATTCTTTCAAGCAATACAAAAAGTTACATTCTATTTTTCAAGTGAATGATTACAATGTATACAAATAATAAACAGAATGTTTTCCATATACCTTCCATGATTAAATATTTTACATGTTTCAGGTAAAAAACAAGTTGTCCCAATAACTCACATACACTCATGTCTAAGCCACTTGTTATAGATTAGCAGAGTGTAAGCAAGCGAGGTGTTTTCTCAGCCAGTTCTTTCGCTGGCAGACTGCGTTTTGAGGTTAGAAAGAAAGGACCAATTGTGTTATTATATATCTCGAAAGGTAATCTTATAAGGAATCTTAAAAGAATCACAAACTTAAACCCTTACATATGGAAAACAATCATCCAGCTCTACTTTAAATCTTTAGGGTGCATATCTACTCATCAGCATTTTTTTAATATCAGGAAATTGAGGACAGAAATGGGCACAAAGGATTAATCATTGCCTTTGGTCACCAACCCATCCTAGCAAGAAAGGTATGTAAGTTAATAATAATTGGGCTGCTTTGTTTTTGATCCCTAACCTTAATGAACCTATCACTTAGCTATGTGTCCTTTATCTTGTTTTTGAAGGGATTTCCCCCCCTCAAAGCTATTTGACAAAAACATCTTAGCCTAACTTTAACTTACTTTCAAAGCTATGTTTCAGCTATGATGCACTCTAAAACCTCTGAACTCATCTCTCAACATTAAGATGAAAAGAATTTAAGCTAGCTGGGCTACTGGGACTCAATTGATTTTCTTTTTTTTTTAGTTTCTATTTTTTTTAAAGATTTATTTATTTATTACATATACACCAGATTGAATTGTAGATGGTTGTGAGCCACCATGTGGTTGCTGGGAATTGAACCCAAGACCTCTGGAAGAGCCGTCAGTGCTCTTAACTTGTGAGCCATCTCTCCAGCCCCTCAATTGTTTTTCTTAATCATTAACCTAAACCACAAGTCTATATGGCGCCTCAGTATCTGTGTAACACTTCCTTGTTTTATTTTTTTATCCTCTGCAGCCTCTACTTTCTCAGAGGCAGGGGCAACATTTTATCCTACCTTACCTATACTAATTTTTCTACTAAACTAATTTCTGTTAGAATTCTTCACTATATTTATTCAAAGCCCTCAGTCATTAAAATCTTATTTAAACTAACACTATGCTATTATATAAAATCATTGCTTCAGTTAAACAGTACAGTTTAGGAGGAATCATCTGGATTATAATCCACAGGTAAAAACGCCCAGTAGAGTTGGGTACTTCCATGGCATGATCATACTGCATTAAGGGCAGCGAGATCTCCCCATGCCCATTCACACCATGCAGATACCAGAGAAGAATGGCAGCTGCAAACATGCAAAGAACAGCAGTAGCAAGAAACATTCTGGGGCCGAGGCTGTCAGGGTCTTGCCTATGAGATTCACCCATAAGGGTTTTGATTCCTGGTGGGTCGATTCCCTGAAGTCAATTGCCATCTGCTGTTCCTCTGACATGGCCACCGTCAAGGAGACTCTATTCAGTGGTGAGGTGGTGGGGTCACCAGGAAAGGGCATAGAAGAGCCCAAGATGCAGATGCGGAGCTGTGTGTGTGTGAAACCTGAAGTCTTCTGAGGCCAACTTTCTTTAGTTGGCGGCTAGCAGAATAGTGGGTGGTAGGTGAATCAAGTTTGAGGTAGAGATGAGGGATCCAGCATTAACCAGTTGCCATCTTACCGATATAGTTAAATACTATGTTCCAATGCTTTTGTCAGCGACAGTCACAGGTGTTATTGTATATAACGCATAGCCCAGATCCATGTAAATTCTTGTGAGTACATTCTGTGATATCTACACAATGTCCAAAAAATTGACCAACCACACCTTTCTCAGAATGAATGTATCACTATGGCCAAGAAACATGTGACCATACTAGAGACTTTGGAAGAAATGACCCAGAGGCTTAAAAGAGGTCCTGGGAAATGAGCTCAGCCCTCAAAGGAGCACAGCATCATTCTGGGTCCAGAGAGAAGCCATGTTTGTTTGGGGACTGTGGGGAGCCTGCTGTGTCACCTCCCCTACTCTTGCTATCTGGCAAGTGAGGTGTCTGGGCTCAGCAAATTCCAAAGACCAGTGGTGCTTGCTGATGCTACCAAGAGAAGGCTGGGCATTAGTGATCACTAGGTTCTGGTCAACAATCACTCAACACACACACACACACACACACACACACACACACACAATTTAGATAATCTTTTCTTTTTGTCTTCACATGAGACAGGAAATCTGATGTCTTTTGTCTTTCTGTATCTGACTATTGCAATTAACATGGTATCTTCCAGCTCTCTCAACATTGCAGCAAATGATATGATTTCCTTCTTTCTGGCTGAATACTATTCCTTTGTGCATATGCATTAATTTTCTTCATTCATTTGTGGGAGTCTGGTCAGGTTTCACATAATATTGTAAATAGTACTACAATAAATATGAAGCGTGCAGATATACTCTTTGGCATGCTGATTTTATTTCCTTTAACAATCATGGATTTCCGGTACAATGACACATTGCTGAGATTGGTGAAAAAGGCTGGAATCCTGGAGTTGATGTTTTCCACATGCATATGTGGAATGATGAAACAGCAAAGGACGTTCTTAGCAGTCTTGGATAAGGATGTGGCAGTTGCTAAGATGGGCAGCAAACTTGCTTAGACACCCAGCTGAGACTGACCACTGCAACTCAAAACAAAGCAAACCCATATTACAGACCAGAACCTTTCACACAGGGGGTAGATGAGCAGGGTTCAACAGTACATGAGTGCTCCCATCTTACAGACCAGAGCCCTTCCCACAGGGGATAGATAGATGAGCAGTGTTCAACAGTACATGAGTGCTCCCATCTTACAGACCAGAGCCCTTCCCACAGGGGATAGATAGATGAGCAGTGTTCAACAGTACATGAGTGCTCCCGGTCTTACAGACTCTAACCCTTTACACAGGGGAAAGATGATCAGCGTTCAACAGTGTTCCAGTGCTCCCGGTCTTACAGACTCTAACCCTTTATTCAGGGGAAAGGTGAGTGTCGCACCTGCTGTGCGGCCTGCATCCGAGAATGTAGCGAGGTGGTCGGGATAGATGACACAGAGACCGGTCGGTTGCTTTAAGAAAACTTTATGCTTCCCAAGTCAGCTTAGGAGGAGACCCCAGTCCGCTTAGGAGAGCTCTCAGGAGAAGTCTCAGGAGAAGTCTCTCCAAGAAAAAAAGAGCTTCCCTTTTTAAGGACTTTTGCCATCCATTTACATACCATTCTTTCCACTTCTCACCCTCCTGGCTGGTGGTTTAATCTCCGGCCCCAGAATCGGGGAGACACCACAGGGGGCAGGGACAGGAAGAGGCATCTAGCCGTAGGGGGTGTGACAGTCATGGTATTTCAGTGAGCAAGCCCTTATCTGAGCCCTATGAAGCTTTAAAGCACTGAATTGTTTCCAGTAAACATTACACAGATGCCTGCTCCCAGGCCGAAGGGGAAGTGGGTTTCTGCTCAAGGTCTGGTGTCCCCACAGGTGAGCAGGATTCAACAGTGTGGGAGTGCTCCCCATCTTACAGATCCTAACCCTTTACACAGTGGAAAGGTGAGCAGGATTCAACAGTGCACCAGTGCTCCACTGTGGGGTCCTGCTTCTTAGGGGCTGGTGTTTTGTGTATATGGGGATGTTTATGTTTGCTTTCTAGCTCTTGGCTCTGGCAATTCCCTCTCCCCTGTAGTTATCCAGGGATAAGAAAGATAGGTGCGTGCATGGGTAATAACAGATAGTCCTGTATGTGATGGAGTGACCACAAATCAGGACTGGAGGGGTGACTCTTAATCTAGGCTTGTTCAAATAGCTGTATGTATGCATTTATTGTGTTGTTTAAAGGGTGATAAAGAGCTCTGCTCAATATTTTTGGAACAACATAGACTGACTAGATCTTTGGTTGTAAGGTATCCTGATAAAGGGAGGGTGGGGAGCAGGCTGGGAGCTGGGTTGGATCTGACCAGTTAAGATCTTGGAGGACATTCGGAGTTTGCATTTTCTTCTAAGAGTGATGGGAAGCTGGGGACATTTCCAGGGGATTATTTACAAGACGTGATGTGTACTGTTATGCGCTTTCTTTGGCTGCACTGGGAGCCTACTGTGCTAAGTCTGGAGAAAAAGAAATGGATTTCCCTTTCTGATTCTGGGTATGAAGCTGCTGCCAAAGCTCGCCTCTCAAGTGACCAAGCAATAAACAGAAAGGACTCGCGGTGACATGAAAGGAGTAGGCTAGCCAAGCAGGAAGGGGCGCCCACCAGCCACATTTCTTGCTGGCTTGCTAACACTGTCGGAGTCAAAGGAAATAGATGATACAAAGAGCTTCTTTGTAGTTTTGTTTAAAGAGAAGCCATGCTTAGGAACTGGCTTGACGAATGTGGAGAGCATGCTGATGAACAGGCTTGCTCGCCGCGTTTGGGAGCAGGCATGGATCAGGTGAGTGGATCTAACGCGCCAAGCAGACCAGTCCCCTCCCCCCACCCCCAATCTCTTCCCAGCACCGATTCTTCAGGGCAACTCCCTCCTTTGAGAGGCATCAAGGGCTCTTGACGCTGACCCGTTTACCCCTTGGAGACAGACTTCCTCTTCCTGTGGGCTGTTCTCCTTTCTTTCCTAGGCACCGGTTCTCCTCTGCTGGCTGTGCTGAGGCCTCCCGCTGATTACAGTTGGAGGGGCTGTTAGCATGCGATCCTTTCTTCTTTTGTTTGAAGTCATTTAATGATTAAGCAACCCCTGGTTTTGACCTCTCTTCTGGCTGAAGGAACCATTGTGCCTCTGTATCCTGGAGCTCAGCCTTGTGTTTGATCCCAGCCCTATCCTCCAGACCTGGGGTGGATCCACATTTATCATGGAGCTGTAAACTGGTGGTTTCTCCTCGGATCTGTTCAAACACCAGGTGATTAGCTGCCTCTGGATTGCGACCTTGAAGGCTGAACCCAAACCCCTTCACTCTGCTTCCCTTCACCAAGACATGAGTCTCAGGCCACAGTCTCTCAGCGTAGTCCTAGCTGTCTGGCTCGCTGTCTCTATTGAGCCTCTTCTATGGGGCAGCACCAGGCAAGAACCTTCCAGACACTGATCATCCTGAGGCCTTGTGCTAATGGAACAAAATGGTTCTCATCATATTCCAGGGCTACTGTGCAATAAAACTTTACAATTTCAATAGATTTTGAAAACTTAACTCAGTCACTTTAAAGGTCATCTTTGTAGAATTTTATTAGTAAAATTGATTTAAAGTTTAACAATACAATATTCTGGTTTACAACTTTTTAATGTCTATGAATTATTTTCTAAGAAGTACCTCTCACTGATACACATACATATGCATATTGTTTTTCTTTAAAGTATGATTTGTGCTACATCTAGGGTTAAGTGGCTTCATAAATGGCACCCAGTTTCTTTTAAAATGTACTTTTTTTAATGATTCCAATGCATTTTTATTCAACCAAGCAACGTTTGAAGTCAGCACCTTTGTGTCAGCCAGACAAAATATAATGCATTGTTTTTAAAAATGTACTTTTTAAACTTTATATTAAAGCATCATTTTAGAAGCTTCAGTAACTACCATTAAAAATAATTTAGCACTGTTTGTTAAAAGAGGTATGCTGTAACAGTTACATCTATGGGTAAATTAGTGAACAGTGGTCTTTCTGATATAATTGGAAGAACTACCTTCCGTGCCATTCTGGCTAGGTTGCAAGAGCATGGGAGGGATGAAGGATCTGGGGAGAGGTCTGTATCTTAGGTGGCTCACAGATACACACTCAGCGGAATGCTTGGGAGAAGTGCTGGCCTTGGAATTTGCTTGTGTGATTTGTCAGAATTTGGGAACACCAACCCCCTGCCCATTCTTAGATTATCTTTTTCCAATTACAGCTTCCCCTCAAGCTTAGTTGCACACGGGAGTGCAAACTCAGGAGGACTGTTGACAGCTATGATAAGGCCAGAGTGCTGGTGGATCAACACCTGCCTTCTGTTTGATCACACACTGCTGTTCCTAGTAATGGACTGTGGACTAGGTGTTCAAGCCTCTCAGGACTCAAATAGAAAAATATTTGCATAAAAATTCAATATTCATTGCCTCCAAGGTGCTCCTGATGTACACATTCCTCCCTCCCTCCCTCCCTCCCTCCTTTAAGAGAAGCAGATGTCTCCACAGCAATGGAGGCAAGCCTGTGGAATCCCATGTCTGCAGTGTTTTGATTCACTTTGCAATACTTTCTGCATACATAAAATTTATTCTACAAGTCTTCCCTTTTTCTTTTTTTTTAAATCAAGAACAAAGGGGATATAGTTTAGAAATAGAATCTTTATTTTTCTCTCTGTAAGGATTCAGGCATTATGCTGGCCTGCCTCCTGTTGCCTGGCAGAATGAACTCAGGTAGTGCCCTGGTCAGTCCAGGGTTCCATGGCTGCTACATCACTATATAGTCTGCACGTAGGTGCAAAGGACCCTTTAAAAGGAAAAAAAATCCTGCCCACTTCTCTCTTTCCTGCTGTTCCTCTGAAGGGCCAGACAGGACTTCTCTCTCTTCCCCTCTCTCTCTCTTCCCCCCCTTTCCCTCCCTCCTCCCTTCCCTTTCTAATAAAACTTCTCACTTAAGCTCTGTGTGCCTGGCATGCTTGTCCCTCGTCCAAAATTCCTAACACTATTTATGTTCTGCCACTACTTCCTTCATGATCGTTTTAATTTTTATTTTTATTCTGAAGAAAATAATTTTACTCTAATTAACTTACAAATGAAAACATTGCACGTGTGTGTGTGTGTGTGTGTGTGGTATACACATGTGTGTATGTGGTATACACGTGTGTGTATGTGTGGTATACGTGTGTGTGTGTGGTATACACGTCTGTGTGTGTGTGTGTGGTATACACACATGTGCATGCACAAGGCCAGATCCTTCTAGAGGCTGTGGAGGATTCTTCCTTATCACTCTCTAACTTCTTTCACGGAGCCTTGTACCAGTCTGGCAGTCAGTCGGCAGCCACCTTCCTGTCTCCTCTCTCACCCCCACAGTGCTGTGGTGATCAAGGGGTATGATCACACTTGCTTACCTGCGTCCCCGGGGATTTGAACTCCAGTCTTCATGCTTCACAGGAAGCTTTGTTTTGTTACCAGCTGAGCTGTCTCCCCAATCTGCGACTGCATTTTTTTTCACCAAAGCCACTTTGCCATTTCTTCAACTTGAACATCTTGATTTGGTGAATCTCTTTGCAAGTCTTCAGCACCTTGTCAAAATCCTCACGGAACTTAATGCCACCCCAGCTTTTGGCACATTCCACAAAGTGATTTATCTCATAAAAGTAGGGTTCCTCTGAGGGCGCTAAGTAGCCAGCGCTCCCTGACGTTCCAGGTAAGTGATGTCAGTCTTTGATGGTACTTCCATGGAGTTGCCCAAAGATGAACATGAGCCAATGTGTGCCTCGTGGCATAACCCACAGTAACATAGACAGCGGTGGTTGCCATCTTGGCCCTCAGACCTGGTCACTAGAGTACTTCATCAGGTGAGCTCACTGCAGGCAGTGGGGCTGCTCCTGGTGGCTGAACTATGGGTGCCAACTCGGGCACGGCTTTCATTCTAGGGGTCCTGCAGGCTGCAAGAGACCACATGGAAAGTGCAGCTTCAGCTTCTGTGAGGCGTCCTAAATGTGCCAATTATCCTTTTTGTTTACACAACCTACTCCATGTTCATGACTGAAAAACTAAAACTACAGATTAATAGGGGAAAAAAGTACTCTACCATCTCGTGGAAGAAACCTGCCTTAACAGTTTGGTTTATAGCAATGTTCTCATTTGGTACATGTTGGCACAAAAACGTTCTACAAACCATTTTCGGGAGTGCTGTTCACTGGAGACCTATGTGTGAAATTTTGGGGTTCTATACTCTAAATAGACAAACAGTTCAGGGTACTGAGAGGGCAGACCACAGGGACATGTGCTATAAGAGTGTGGCAAGATGGTCTCTGTAGTATTTGACAGTGGAACCATTCGACTGGAAAGACAGAGTCCTTGTCAGGGCAGTAAACTGTGGTTCAAATACATGCAGACTGAATAGTGTGGGGTTACTGTGAGACAATTCAGCAACCCCACCCGAGTCCTTCAGTTTCTTTTTCTGTGTCTAGCTTCATTAATAATTGAAGGAATGCTAGTTGGAACAACTCAAAGCTCTGCTATTCATGAAATTAGCAAAACAAAACATTGACTTCAACGCCAAAGCTCAATGCCAGCCGGGGTGTAAGAAAAGAAGTACATTCTTAAGCAGTTCTTCATTGCCCCGTGATTCTGGAGGCCATCTTGCCCAGGCAGAGGCAGAGCAGAGCAGTGTGGTTGACATTGTCTCCTTTACTGTTACCACCCACATCATCAGAGCGAGCTGAAGGAAGTAATAAAATCCAAACAATTTATTCCAAGAGACTTACCGTTTACTTGTTGGGTCATTGAGAAATCAGCGTCAGGAGACTTGTCTCCTTCGTGATGCTTAGAAACTGAAGCACGATGGAGAACATATAGTGATGAGCACTGTGGATGGTGGTTGAGCTGCAGCCCAGAGGCCTCTGCTGGGAGTTGAAGAGTGGAGACCATGAGTTTTGTGTAGAGAAAGCTGCACGTCACTTTCCTTTGTTCCTGTCAAACCTTCCTGTTGACTGAGGTGATGAGAGATCATGGAACTAACAGAGAGCTTGGAAGACATTTAAGCCACAAGCAGGGACCGCTACCTTCTAAATATACTGACTACCCTTTGATGAGCTCCTGAACTTGTTTGCTGGAAGTGCTGTTTAGAGCGCTCTTATATTAGAATAAAATCAACTTTTGTCAATCAATTTCACCTCAGCTGTCAGAGTATATGCAGGATAAATCTGGTCCTATTTGAATTTTATACATATGTATGAATACATACATATACCTACAAATGTGTGTGACACACACACACACACATCTCCCACGCTGAACAGCCTTTGCTATTTAAAACTTTTCTCAGTTATTTAATTTAATGTATAATTTCTTCCCTGGAAATGCGTCAGTTTGTGATGTTAAAGATCTGCAGAAGGATGGCTACGGATGTAGCTCAGCTGGTAGGGTGCTGGACTTGACTGTATGACATCTTGGGTTTAATCGCCAACACTAAATAAACTGGCATGGTTGCACTCTGGAGGTAAAGGCAGGAGGATCAGAAGTTCAAGGTCACCCTCAGCTACTTCATGGATTTAAGGCTAGTCTGAGTTGTTTGAGAACTATGTAATACAAAAAGAAAAAAAAGAGAGAGAAGAAAGACCTCCTTAAATATTCCTGCCTTCTCAGTTTTAAAATTCCCCCTGTTCAGATCACAGTTAAATAGCTTAAGATTTTCCTTTCTGTTAGAAACGTGAATGTTCGTTATTGCTCAATGACACTTTGCATGAAGGAGCATTTTAGAGATCACAAGCATTTTCTTGTAAATTACTTCATGTTGGTGGGCAGGGAAGTATCCATGTTCTAAGATTCTTGGGATACAGCAGGTGAATTAACTAACTCAAGGCCACACAGGTAGATAGATTTGGGTCAAAATTCCGGGCTTCTCTAACACCAAGGCAAATGGCTTGAGGTATATTAGATAGGCTAGAATGAAGATTTTGTTTCCATGTCAAGTACAAAGGAAGAAAAATATATTCCATGATTCTACTTTTTGTTAGAAAACAAATTACTTTTTATTTTTAATAACATACAGGAATTTAGAATACAGTTTTTAAAAATTTTTAGAAACTTGCTATCGGTATTGCCTGCATGTAGTCTATGTACCATGGGTATGCCTGGTACCCTGAGGAGGTTAGAGGAGGACATCAGATCTCCTGGAAATGGAGTTAGAGACAGCTGGAACCTCCACATGGCTTCTGGATTACATCTGGGTCCTCTGGAAGAGCAGCCATAGAGTCATCTTTCCAGCCCAAGAATATGTTCTGGAGAGAACAAACAGAAGGACTCTTCAGTCCCACCGCCCTTCGTGGAGCTAACTGCTGTTATGAGTTTGGTGTGTTTTTATTTCATTAGCAAAGTGGTATGTGATCATTACAGAAGCCAAAAGAAAAAAAATTCTCATTCTCCATGCTTCTTGGAGACAAAGTTAATATTTCATTGCACTTCATATTAACCTTTATCTAGGCACATTTTTTAAAAATTACACGTCTTATATAACTAAGGTTTGGGTGCATGTATGATTGACTGCTTTTTAAAAATTTACATATCAGCAACATTTTCTTATGCTAATAAGTTTTTGGAAAGATATTTTCAAGGCAGCATATTTTTTTAGTTAGGGGTGTTATAGTCATTTAGTTAACCATTTACTACATTACTGGAAATTTCCAATGTTTGCATAATTATAGGTGATGCTGAGGTGTGTTATCTTTTTTAAATATTAAGAAGGAACACTTCTTTTGCTCTAATTTTATGCATTCTCTCCTTTATTTGTCCCACTGAGCACTTTTGTAGAAGCCAGGTAGGGTGTTAATTATCAAATCTAATCATGCAGGGAAGGCCTGGTCTCCTGTCCACTGAGCCATTTGTACCAAAGGAATAACGAAGGGAACACTGATAACGAGCATGGCTCTTTGGCTGCTCATTAATGCCATCTGCTCAGCAAAACATTAATGAGCTGCACTTTTGACCCATGAAGAGTGCTTTTAATTACAGCTCTTTCTTGGTGTCTTTGCTCTTTTGATTCTACCAGCCTGCTGGAGCCTTTGAGCGCACTGTCTCTGCTTTGCAGTAGTCAATGAGCTCTCTGGCTTTGAGCTGACTTAAGCGTTATAGTACAAAGGACATGATAAAAGGACAGATATCCCCATAAGCTTTGGTTTTTGCATGGAATCTGGGATACATGATGTAGAGGTTGGAAGCTCCCACAGTCTATTTGACTAATAGACCAATCACGAAAGATCTAAACAATGAACAGTTGCTCAAAGATTGCAAATGCTATCAAAACCACAAACATGATTAACCTAAATAGCAATCAAAGACACTGACTAATAATTAAAATAATATAGCATTTTAAGCTATAGAATTCACTATTTTTCAAATGGATTATCCAATTTCATTATGGTATACAGCTGGCATACATAGTATGCAATTGGATCCATTTGTCACAAGCTTGTTTGCCAGTGAGGTTGAAAACGGATGCTATTTGGTCAACTTAGTAAATAGTAACATGTTAAGATGTGCCTTTTCTGTGAGGCAATATATTTATGTTTAGCAAAATGTACCCAAAAAAGAATTATC